GTGAGGCCCGGCCTCGAAAAGAAACGTCTGTGTCTCTGGTGATGTAGGTATCTTCATGTCTGTTTTGTCTGATATTAGTATGGCCATCCCAGTTCTCTTTTGGGTACTGTTTGTATGGTATATCTTTACTCATATTTTCACTTTTAACCTGTTTATGTTTTTGAATCTAAAGTGCGTAGATCGTGGCTGGGCGAGGTGGCTCACACCCGTAATCCCAGCACTTTGGGAGGCTAAGGTGGGTGGATCACCTGAGGTCAGGAGTTCTAGCCCAGTCTGGCCAACAAGTGAAACCCCGTCTCTACTAAAAATACAAAAATTAGCTGGGTATGGTGGCGGGCATCTGTGATCTCAGCTACTCGGGAGGCTGAGGCACGAGACTTCCTTGAACCCGGAAGGTGGAGGTTGAAGTGAGCCAAGACTACACCATTGCACTCCAGCCTGGGCAATAAGACTAAAACTCAGACTAAAAAACATAAATAAAATAAAAATGAAAGTGTATAGATTGCATAGCTGTGTAGTTGGATCTTGTTTATTTCTTAACCCACTCTGAATATCTTGGCCTTTTACTTGGAGTGTTCAATTCAGTATCACTTGCTGTCATTGACCCAGTTACATTTACATATGCCACTGTTTTGTTTGTTTATTTGTTTAGTTTGAGACAGAGTCTCACTCTGTCACCCAGGCTGGAGTTCAGTGGTGTGATCTCAGCTCACTGTACCCTCTGCCTCCTGTGTTTAAGCAGTTCTCCTGCCTCCGCCTCCTGAATAGGCTGGGATTACAGTCTCGCACCACCATGCAATGGCAAATGTTTGTATTTTTAGTAGAGACAGGGTTTCACCATGTTGGTCTCGAACTCTGACCTCAAATGAGCCACTCGCCTCAGCCTCCCAGCATTCTAGGATTACAGGCATAAGCCACTGTGCTCAGCCCTATGCCCGGCTAATTTCTGTATTTTTACAAAAGTTATGTGTTTTGTGTTTTTTAATTCCTCCGTTCCTCCATCATTGCCTTTGTTGTGCTAAATGAATATTTTCCAGTGTACCATTTTAATTTCTTTTATATATATATAATGTATTTATTTTCTTATGGTTGCTCTGGGGATTTTAACAAGCATTCTAATGTATCACAATCTTTTTCAGATGAATCCAGTAAAACACAGAAACTTTGTTCCAATGAAATTTCATTCCCTCTTCCTTCCTTTTCACTGTATTTTTTCATATAATTATGTCTTTATATGTTTCAACCTTTTTATAGTTAGAAGTTACATATCATAAGGTATATTTTTATATGTTATACATTAAAGTAGGGTTTTATAATTATTGTGTTATGCAGCCATCTTTTAATTGGATAAGAGGCTGGGCCAAGCACAGTGACATCTGCCTGTAGTCCCAGCTACTTGAGAGGCTGAAGCAGGAAGGCAGGAGGATCACTTGAGCCCAGGAGTTTGAGACCAGCCTGACCAACATGGTGAAACCTGATTTCTAGTCTTATAGTAAGACTCCATCTTAAAAAAATAATAATAATAAGCCGGGCGAGGTGGTTCACAACTGTAACCCCAGCACTTTGGGAGGCTGAGGTGGGTGGATCACAAAGTCAGGGGTTCGAGGCCAGCCTGACCAACATGGTGAAACCTGATTTCTACTTAAAAATAAAAAATTAGCCGGGCGTGGTGGTGCACACCTGTAATCCCAGCTACTTGGGAGGCTGAGGCAGGACAATTGCTTGAGCCCAGGAGGCTGAAGTTGCAGAGAGCAGAGAGCGCACCATTGCACTCCAGCCTGGGGGACAGAGAGAGACTCCGTCTCAAAATAATAATTTAAAATTTAAGTTGGCCAAAAGAAAAATATATACTGTTTTTTAAATAATTACCTTTATTAGTGTTCATTTATTTCCTGATTATCATTCATTCTATTGAGATGAATCTCACTCTGTTGCCCAGGCTGGAGTGCAATGGCACAATCGCTGCTCACTGCAACCTCCACCTCCCAGTTTCAAGCAATTCTCTTGCTTCAGCCTCCTGAGTAGCTGGCATTACAGGCGCCCACCACCATGTCCAGCTAATGTGTGTATTTTTAGTAGAGACAGGGTTTCACCATGTTGGCCAGGCCGGTCTCAAACTCCTGACCTCAGGTGATACTCCTGCTTCGGCCTCCCAGAGTGCTGGGATTACAGGCGTGAGCCACCCATATGTTAGTTCTTTAGGCATTATTTATAAGCTGCTTTGAAGTGGGCTATGTCCAATATCTTGCCCTCTTATGGACAGTTTATTTTTTTTTTTTTTTGGAGACAAAGTCTTGCTCTGTCACCCAGGCTGGAGTGCAGTGGTGCAATCTTGGCTCACCACAACTTCTGCCTCCTAGGTTCAAGTGATTTTCCTGCCTCAGCCTCCCAAGTAGCTGGGAGTGCCACCACACTGACACCGGCTAATTTTTCATATGTTTTGGTAGAGATGGGGCTTCACCATGTTGGCCAGGCTAGTCTTGAACTCCTGGCCTCAAGTGATCTACCTGCCTTGGCCTCCCAAAGTGCTGGGATTACAGGTGTGAGCCACTACGCCTGGCCAGGGACAGTTTTTAAAAATCACTTTGTTTTATGGGCATGCCCTGTGTATTCTTTTCTTTTCTTTCTTTCTTTTTTTTTTAGACAGTGTCTTGCTCTGTCCTCCAGGCTGGAGTTCAGTGGTGTGATCTTGGCTCACTCACTCCTGGGTTCAAGTGATTCTCCTGCCTCAGTCTCCCAAGTAGCTGGGATTACAGGTGCCCACCATCATGCCCGGCTAATTTTTGTATTTTTACTAGAGATGGGGTTTTCATCATGTTGGCCAGGCTGGTCTCAGACTCCTGACCTCAAGTGATCACCCACCTCAGCCTCCCAAGGAGCTGTGATTTCAGGCATGAGCCACTGTGCCCAGCCATACTCTTGTTTCTTTGTATGTCTCATAATTTTCTAATTGATATTATCTTAGATAATATATTGTAGAATAGAAACTCTGAATTCTAATCCTTTCCACACTCCCCTGGGTGATGGTGGTGGTGGTGCTTAGTGACTTGGTCGGATGAATTCTTTTTTTTTTTTGAGACGGAGTTTCACTCATGTTACCCAGGCTGGAGTGCAATGGCACGATCTCGGCTCACCGCAACCTCCGCCTCCTGGGTTCAGGCAATTCTCCTGCCTCAGCCTCCTGAGTAGCTGGGATTACAGGCACGCGCCACCATGCCCAGCTAATGTTTTGTATTTTTAGTAGAGGCGGGGTTTCGCCATGTTGACCAGGATGGTCTCAATCTCTTGGCCTCGTGATCCACCCGCCTTGGCCTCCCAAAGTGCTGGGATTACAGGCTTGAGCCACCGCGCCCGGCCCGGATGAATTCTTTAGGGTAAGTTTCCCCTGCAGGCTGTGGCTACAGAGGTATTTGCCAAATTAAAAAAAAAAATCTGTAACATTTAAGTTTGGCTTCCTAAGGCTCACCCCTGGATCAGTGCAGCTTAGTGGCCAATTACTGGTTCGAATACTCTTGGTTTCTCTTCAAATCATATAAATCTTTGGCCCTTTACAATTACTGGTTCGATATGGTGCTTAAAAACCCTGAACCAAGGCCGGGCGCGGTGGCTCACGCCTGTAATCCCAGTACTTTGGGAGGCCGAGGCGGGTGGATCACGAGGTCAAGAGATCAAGACCATCCTGGTCAACATGGTGAAACCCCGTCTCTACTAAAAATACAAAAAATTAGCTGGGCATGGTGGCGCATGCCTGTAATGCCAGCTACTTAGGAGGCTGAGGCAGGAGAATTGCCTGAACCCAGGAGGCGGAGGTTGCGGTGAGCCGAGATCGCGCCATTGCACTCCAGCCTGGGTAACAAGAGTGAAACTGTGTCTCAAAAAAAAAAAAAAAGAAAAAAAAAAAAAAACCCTGAACCAGGGCCGGCGTGGTGGCTCACACCTATAATCCCAGCACTTTGGGAGGCCGAGGCAGGTGGATCACGAGGTCAAGAGATTGAGACCATCCAGGCCAACACGGTGAAACCCCGTCTCTACTAAATATACAAAATTAGCCGAGCATGGTGGTGCATGCCTGTAGTCCGCCCGGCTAATTTTGTATTTTTAGTAGAGATGGGGTTTCACCATGTTGGCCAGGCTGGTCTCGAACTCTTGGCCTCAACGTGGGCCACCAAGCCCAGCCTTCTGATAGCCTTCTCAAAGGAGGCAATCAGATATACATCTGTCTCAGAGAGCAGAGAGGTGGCTGTGAATCGGATGGGAGGCAGGTTTGCCCTAGGCAGTTTCCAGCCTGAGTTTTTAGTGATTATGGGGGCCCCGGATACTTCCCTTTCACATGTCACGTCTACTGGGTCTCCTGGTCCAACTGCTGACCTCGCTGTCAGATATGGAAAGCTCTGACGAAGCTTACTTTTGCATCTGTTAGGTCTCAAATGCCTTCGGTTTAAAATAACCTTCACATCCACTCTGGGGTTCCGAGTGGGTCCCCACAGCTCGAAATAACCCACGGAGGGGCGAGGGGGCGAAGGAAAGTCGATGGGAGCCTGGCGGCTGCGGAAACCCAGGACGGGCAAGGCCCCTGGGGGGTGATTTTCCGCAGCGGAGCGGCTGTCCGAGGCGGCAGGTGCGCGGGTTCGCGGCAGGGCTCGGGCCGCCGCAGGAGAGAACCGGTCACGCCCGGAATTCGAACGCCGGCGCCAGGCGGCGCTGAGCCCCAGCGCCCACGGTCTGCCCGCGGTCCGGGCCTTCTGTGCGCCTCAGCGGGCGCGATTTCCACACGGCCGGCGCCCCGTTTCCAGCGAGCAGTCGGTGAGTCCCGGCGCGTCCCGACCCCTCCGGCCGCGGCCCGCGGGGCACGGCGCTGACCTCGGCCACTGACCTCAGACCCCGCGCCGCGAGCTCTCTGTCGCCGGGCCCCTCGGAGCCGGGCGCGGTTTCCGGGGGACGCGTTTCCCGGTGTACCGTGGGCCGCCCGGACCGCAAAGGACGCGGCCCCTTCCGGTGGTGGCGCGGAGCCCTGGGCCCGGCTGCGGCCCGGCTGCAGCCCGGCGCGGTGCTGGCGTTCCCGGAGGCCCGAGCGCGGCGGGGGCCCCGGGCGTCGGCGAGGCCGGAGCGGGGCGGGCCCGGGACACAGGCGGCCGGCGCCCTCGGAGCCAAAGACGCGCGACGGACACGGCGGGGCCCTGGAGCGGTGAGGACGCGGGCGCTCCTGTCCGTTCACAGCGCGGACGTGCCCGCCGCGGGGCTCGGGCCGAGGCCCTCGGGGGCGCCCTGTGGCGTTTCGGGCCAGCCGGGCCGCCGGGCCGGGCGCGGGGAGGGGAGCTCTGCCCTTCCCCGGGCCCGGCGCGGGGCCGATTCCCCCGGGAAGGGGCCCGGGGGTCCGTGCACGGCCCGGCCGCGGTGGCCCTGCCAGGGTCCTGACTTCCCCGTAGGGCGGTCTGCCAGGGCCAGGCCCGCGGCGGCGCTGGCGTAGCGGTTTCTTCCCGCTTCTCGGCCTTCCTACCAGGCCGACATGGAGCCCCAGTCCCCAGGGCGGGTCAAAGCCTCGGGGCCCAGCGGCCCCCTCGAGGTCCGCTGCGAGGTGGCGGCACTGGAGTGGCCTTTCTCCAGCCTGCACCGACCCCCACCTCTCGTGCCCCTTTGGTGCCCCCTGCGTGTGACCCAGCGGTGGCAGAGCAGCCTTAGAAGAGTGACCGCTGGCTCCGAGTCCTGCGCCTGTCGTCGGGCCTAGCTGAGCCCTGGGTCTGCTCCTTTCCCCCAGCCTGGAGACAATGCCAAAGCTGCAGGGCTTCGAGTTCTGGAGTCACACCCTTCGGGGGGCGCGCCACGTGGTGGCCCCCATGGTGGACCAGAGCGAGCTGGCCTGGAGGCTGCTGAGCCGGCGCCACGGAGCACAGCTCTGCTACACGCCCATGCTGCACGCGCAAGTCTTCGTCCGCGACGCCAACTACCGGAAGGAGAACCTGTACTGCGAGGTGTGCCCCGAGGACCGGCCCCTCATCGTGCAGGTGCGCAGTGTTGGGTCTCAGCCCCTGGAATGCCTGGGGAAGAGCCCTTCCCTCTATGGTGGGACATCACCCTCAGCCTTTCCAGAGACAGCTTTCCAATTCCAGGAGGAGAGGGAGAAGGTGGCGCCAGGCACAGAGAGTCCACGCAGCCACAGCAGTAATTCCTGTGGGCGAGCCAGGGCTGCAGGTGCACTTCCCAGAATCCAACCCCATTCCTAGGAGCTAGCTTGGGCAGCCCTCCTGGCGCCCCCTGGATTGCTGCCTCTCACACTCCCGCTTCAGAACCAGTAGGGATGCCTCTGCTCTTCAGAAGTCCGTAATTGTGGCTTCTACCACAGTTCAGAAGAAAATCTGTAAATCTGGGTGGTTTCTCAACTCCTCCGGCTCTGTCATATTGTAAGCCTCGGCAGGACAGGACACCCTCCTGCAGTGAACCTGGGCCCACACTCTCATGGGGTCACACTGGACCTCTCGTAGGGCTGGGCAGCAAGGGACTGGTGCCTGGCTGGGCTCATGGCTGACTCCTTCATCTTCTGCAGTTCTGTGCCAATGACCCGGAGGTGTTTGTTCAGGCGGCTCTCTTGGCTCAGGATTACTGTGACGCCATCGACCTGAACCTGGGCTGCCCACAGATGATAGCCAAGAGAGGTGAGCTCCATGTGGAGCATGGGGGCTGTGGGGGCAGGAGCCAGAGCCAGCTCAGGGTAGCCCCAGATGTGGTGAGCTTGGAGGATGGCAGGCCCTGCCTCTGTCGTAGGCTGGAGCCAGTTGTCCTCTGTGCTTTGCCTCCGGAGGGTGCTGTCCTCAGGCCCCCAGGGCTGTGGTCTGAGCCCTGCTGGCTCTCACTTCCTCAGGGAGCTCCTTCTGCATAATTGCTGCCAGGGCATCCCCTCACCCCCTTGCACTCCTGTAAGTGGGGTCCGGCCTGTCTACCTCACTGGGCCCCTGGGGAGGTGTTGCTTGGTCCCAGACTGTGGGGCTGGGGTTCCATTCAGCACCTTCTGAGCTTATGCAGCTGGGCAAGAGGCCGAGTCTGATGCCAACAAACCACTAGACTCTGACTGTTCCACTGCCCCAACTAGAGACACTGCTGGTTCTGAGGACTTGCGGGGCAGCTCCTGGTCTGCATGGACAGAGGAGGGGGTGCAAGGCCTTGGCCCCACCGGCCTGAACACAGGTGTCAGCCAGGCCGTGCTTGTTCTTTGCAGGTCACTATGGCGCCTTCCTGCAGGACGAGTGGGACCTGCTCCAAAGAATGAGTGAGTTGGCTGCGTGGGCGTCGAGCCCCAAGCCCTTTGAAAGGGACACATGGGCACTGTCCACTTGGTGGGGCTCAGGAGAGGACAGGTGTTGGCAGGAGCTCCCGGCAGCACCCTGGGGGTTCCTGCCCACAGCAGGCTCTCTGCTGGAAGGAGGTGGCTGTGAAGTTGCCCGTCCTGTGCCACTTGCCCCTTAACACCAGGCTGTAGGTGCCAGGGCAGAGTCCTTGCTCTGGCCCAGCCTCAGATGTTCTGGGAGACAGAGCTGGCGTTGGCCGTACTTGTTTGAACCTGGGAGGGCTGGGGAATGGTGGAGGGAGCCTGCGCAGCAACCTGAGGGTGAGGCTCAGATGGTGGCCTGGGCTGCCTCTCAGCCTCCCGGCAAAGCTGCTGGCTTTGCTCTCTGTGGGGCCCTGGGCTCTAGGAACACCATGGCCCCCTCAAAAGCTGCCTCTCTTCTCCCCAGTTTTGCTGGCCCACGAGAAACTTTCTGTTCCTGTCACGTGCAAAATCCGTGTCTTCCCAGAGATTGACAAGACTGTGAGGTACGCCCAGATGCTGGAGAAGGCCGGCTGCCAGGTGAGCCCTGGGCTTGCATGGGCGTGTGGGCCCCGGCTGGGCCTTTACGCAGAGGACACAGCTGAGGCTCTTCCTGTGTCCACTCAGACACCGTGCATCGTTGGCCTCATAGGAGCAGTGGCTCTCCTGACTGGCCTGTCCCCACTGGCTCTGAGTGCCACCACCTCCAGCCCAGGCCTCTACAGCAGAAACTGCTTTCCTGGCTCCAGGGTTTTGTTCCTGCGGAGAGTAATATCAGGGTCTTCACCATGTTCCTAGCATCCTAGAGGCCGGCAGGGCCTCCTTTTGGGATGCTCAGCTTCCAGTCTCCGAGAGGGTCAGGAAGGGGCCACCTGGCTGTCAGCAGAGTTGCTCCCCTGCCTGCGTTCCCTGCACACTGAGCCTGTCCTGGCACAGGCCTGGATGGGCTGCTGTCTGTAGGGATTCCCCTTGACACTCACCTGGAGGCGGACAGCAACCTCCATCACCTGGAGATGAGGCTTGCCCAGGGGCTGTGGGCTCAGTGCCCCCCCAGCCTGGAGTCATTCCGGAGCCAGTCTCTCCCACACCTTTGGCTTGGGGCAGTGGGGACGCTGCCACTTCCCAGCCTGGCTGTTGTGTGGGTCTGGGCAGCACGTGCATCCTGGGGCTCCCTTGGAGTGCAGAGACCTTGGGGCAGGCCCTGGACGGCCATTCCTCAGCTCTGCTTCAGGAACTGAGATGCTGAGGGAAGGCCCCTGGAATTGGACACGGGGCTCAGAGGGGCAAATGGTGGAGGGGGTTCTGGGGCTCAGAGGGGTGGAGGGTCTTGCAGGAGGCAGAGGGGGCTCGGAGGGGGCTTGGAGGGGTGGAGGAGGCTTGGAGAGGCAGATGGGGCTGGG